TCCCAAGGAGGAAACACTTGATCAGATGATTCTTTGTCAGGCAATCTTCATAATTGAGTTTTCAGTTTTGATGGAAACACATTCAATGCGGAGTTACGAATATTGGTCATTTCTAGGATCAAGATTGACAAAGATTTTAATTTCTCGGAGCGATGAGATATCAGGAAGTTCATATCAGAGAGGTAACATAATTTTGGTACGTTTCTTCAGCTCAGATCCTTCTTTCGCGTATCACAAGAATAGACTTCATGCTCCTTTTGGTTGAGAGGTTTGCGCACATAAATTCGAGATGAACTCGGTCGGTTTAGAAATTAGCTTTGCTTTCACCTATATAAGGTTTCCATCATCGATCTTTAGTTGAAGAATTCTTCGTCAAGAGTTGTCAATACCAACATCGTTCGATCAGCCAATGTATACTAAGGAAAATTGTCAAATTCCTTGTATGGTATTTCAATGAAGTTTTGCAAGGAGTTGTCGCTTAACGAGCGATTTCGATTCCTAAGATATAATCGCATATTTGCATTTTAATGAGTTAGACATCAAAATGGGATGCTTTAGATAACAAAGTTTATTGATTCTAAACGTTTGTGTTTGAATCAGCGATTAGATCGTCTTGAGTCCACATGAGGATCTTTGACATCGGCTTCACAGCTGTTTCTCAACAATTGTCGTTTCTTCATAGTCGTCTCACTTTCGTATGATTTTGCGATGCAGATCAGTTTCGTCCTTCGTGATGCGATGCGTACGTTAATAACGGATCAGAGGGTCATATATTTTTCATTCATTCTTGCGTCTCTTTACTGAGTACGAAAGTTCTATTAGAGTCTAAGCTCGATACAATTTGAGTACTAATCAATTATTATTCAATGAGAATTCAATATAGTCAATATCTACTAAGTAAATTATCATACCTTTTCCTGGAGCAGAGGGATGCGAGAGTCGTGGATGTGACCAACATTTTTTTTAAAAATCAAATTTTGATTCGAAGATCGGTTTTAAAACCATTTGCTCTGATACCAAATTGTAACACCCTAATCCGTCCAGGTCTGCAGCCCCTTTCGGACTAAAATATTAACTCGGTAATCGTAAAATTTAAAACATTTCAAACACTTTTATTTATCACAATAATATTTTCATATCATAAACAGTACAGCGTTTTTAATATTGCGGAAGCTTAACAAATTATAACTACAAACATAATTTATTTATGTTCTTTAATTCAAAACCATCACATCCACTCCGACAATCTCGCCTCCGTCTGCCTCCAGAATCACGTCACATCATTCTTTCTATTAACCTGCGTGTAGCAAATAAAACATACTACACGCTCAGCGGTAAAGCTAAGTAAGCATATCTAACGCGTCGAACATCCATATAAATAGAAACTTAATTCATAATCAAATCATTTGATATCATGCACATAATGTCCAGTTCAGATATTCAATCATCAATAATCAATTCATTAATCAATCATTCAATATGTATATTCATCATATAATATTCATCATTCGTCATTCAACAATATCCTTAAACTATTCTTAGTCTAAGGACAATCTATTTGATATTTTCCAACTCTTAAACGAATTCTAGTTTAAGATAGTTAAACTATATTCAAGTTTAAGGTACTCTTATCTAACCCTTAAGCTAGGCCTAGTTTAAGATATAAATTTTCAAAAGAGGTTTTCAAAATCTTAAACTTACCTTCGATTAAGGTCATCCAAAAACCGAACAGCGGATCCGAAATGCTCACTGTCGGGTTGGGTGGTATCCCCAAACGAGTGCCTCAAGTTTGGTTTGTAGATCCCGTACGTACGTTTTAACTCAGGCCACCGAATACTCATGATTATACCCGCAAGGCCTATTTCTAAGCTATCTTA